ACCTGCTAGTTTTAAGCACATGCAGTTTAGGTACCAAAAAGCTACTCAAATTTGACGCTTTGAATGATTTCCAAAGATGATTTTGAAAATTTGTCAGCCTTCCTGAGAAAGAAGTCTCCAGACAAGCACTTAAAATTCTAGAGATCTTACAAGGAAGGAAAACAGTTCAAGGCAAATTTGCCATTTCTAAGACCAGTGAGGACGCTGCCTGTAATGTTCCCACCCTTTACGGTTAGAGCATTTTTTGCTCCGTGTCCTACACTGCAGTTTCGAGTGAAACACTCTCCATCCAAGTGTTTTATGGATCCTATAATGGACCAGAGTTTACTCTCCTTCTTTTATTTGCCTTGCAAACTGCAGATCGGCTCTGAAGGGAGGGTGGGACTAGGTCCTGGACACTATCCTTTGCTTGTCCTCCCACTGAATTTCCTTCCTGTTTGAGGGAGGCAGGAGCTTCTATTTTGTCTTAAGGAAAATGAAGTTTCCCTTCACTTTGCAAAAAAGGTCTTGGGAATTTCTGAACTGCAGCCAGGTCTGTGTATGACAAAACCGTGGTTCTCCCCTGAGTTCCAGGAAATAACCTACAACATGGATGTTTAGCTTACACTCCACCCCATATTGTGCTCCACACCCCCCTGAAAGACTGTCCTCTACTTTTTACAGTGAATCTGAACTTCCTCATAACCTCCAATCTACTGGGTTTTGCTTGCCTCTGGGCATCCCCTGCTGTGTGGTCAAGGCTGGTGAATGAGGCATCTGGCCCCTTGCTGAYCCCTTTGCTTTCACTGGAGCTTTAAATCTTCCCACTGTTATTCACATCTCCCTTCCCCCTAACCCTGTCCACCTATAGCCTTTGCTGTGGGGTTATTCTGCCTGGCCTTGGTGGCCACCTACAGGTGGAACATCGTGATTTCCACCATATCACAAAGGCTTGTGGGGAGACTAGAAAGCATTGATTGGCTTTTCCATTCTTCCGTGGCCACTCCATATTGGTGTTGGAGCACCTGTGAAGCCATATTCTTTGACTCCCTGATAGAAATAACCTTTAGCTTCTGGGGCTTTTGGGCTTTTCCCTCTTACTCCACCCCATGTTTTTGGCTGGTATGGGGCACCAGCAGGCTGATAAGACAATTTTTGTCTCCCTGCCTCCCCTATTCTTGTGCAAAGCACAGCTTTTTCAGTCACATGACCCAGGCTCTAACCAGAGTGCTACTATGTTTTAGATGACAAGACTGGAATACTAAAATGTTGACTGTAGAGAAATTTATTTATTTTGTAATATTATGTGGTCAATTTCCAGAAAGGAGGGTGCCGAGATTTTCCCTCCTTTTTTGCCAATCCCAGAATATTTATTATCATAACAGTTCAGGATAAAAGACTTCAACATGCTGAATAGTCACTCTGACCCCGAGATGCTATAGTGATATTTTATTTAATTCCTTTGATTCAATACCATTTCAAGATTTAAAAATATTTTGATTTTTTAAAAAACTTTTCTAGTCACCATTGACTTAGATTTACATTTTCTGAAGAATTAATTCTCTCATAATATGCTAAAAATGTATTTTATTTGACAACAAATTGTGATTGTATGTAATTATTAGGTTCAGTGAGGGAATGATTGAATCAAACTAATTAAAATATTCCTAACTGCAACCTAGTCAGAATGCCTTCATCTATCCTCTCCCCAGTTCCTGATAAATACCATTATTCTCTGTTTCTGAGTTTGATTTAGATCTTACATATAAGAGGACATATGACTTTTGTCTTTTGTTGACTGGCTTATTTCTTTTACCATGTCTTCTAGGGCCATCCATGTTGTTGCAAGGACAGATTTTTTCAAGGCAAAGTAATATTCCATTGTATGTGTGAATTTCTTTATCCCTTCATCCACTGACACACATTTAGCTTGTGAATAATGTTGCAATGAATATAGGTATGAAGATACCTCTTTGACATACTGATTTCAAGTTTTTAGGATATATACCCAGAAGTGGAAATGCTGGATCTCACTCCCTTTTTCAATGAAAACCTGTCTCCAGAAAATACTCAACCACCTACTTGTGCTCAAGGATATCTGATACTTCTTTGTGGGGAATGACTTCCTTGTCACAGTTAAAAGGAAAAGTGTGTGGGGCACATATGTGTGCACACACTGAAATTCAGGTCTGAATAATTGATGCCAATCCAATTATTTGATGGAGAAAGGTGAGAGGACAAGGGCACCAATTGCAATAGCCCAGCAGAAGGGAGGGTGTGCAGACAGGAGCTTGGGTGCCAAGGTTTTCTGCTTCTGCCAGCACTTGGGGCTGGACAATAGCAAGGTTTGGAATGGACCCTTTTTGTCAGTGACTGTTCTAATGCTGTATTATTTGGCAGCAGGCTTCCCAGAAGTGTTGCTTTGTTTCCTATTCTCACCCCCACAGCAGGTGTGGGGGCAGCAGGCAGGGGCGGTAGATGTGTGTAGTGCAGCTTGAACTGTGTAGCTTTTCGGCAAACTTCTACTCCGCTGGAGGAATAAGGGTAGGGCCTTGAAGGCTCTGGGTCCAGTGTCACAGTGGAGCAACATTTTGTTTTCCTGGATCTTTCCATAAGCTCAACTCTGAAATTTTTCTTTTGGTGGTGGTGGTGGGGATACCAGGGATTGAACTCAGGGCCACTCAACCACTGAGCCACATCCCCAGCCCTAGTTTGTCTTTTACTTTATTTAGACACAAGGTCTCACTGAGTTGCTTAGTGTCTTGCTTCTGCCAAGGCTGGCTTTAAACTTGTAATTCTCCTGCTTCAGCCTCCTGAGCTGCTGGTATTTGCTGGTGCTACCTTGCCCAGCAAATCTGAGATGTTATAATGTTTTAATGATTTTTTACTTTCTCTCCATATGTACTTTCCTTTTTACAAAATTTACTTAACGGCAGCTATATTATACTGAAAAAGATACACAACTCTCCATTTTCTAACCAAAGACAGAGTTTCCCCTGACAATTTACCACAGTGAAAAATATCATTTTTCCAGTTTTGACTGCTCTATTTAAATGAGGCAGGTGATTTCTGCGGGTGACACTAATCGACTTGAGCTTACGTATARGCAGTCTTGGAGGGCATTTTCAAGCACAAACAGAATTTAGTCAGAGTCCTTGGGAAGGGGTAATTTTAAAATAAGGATGTAAACTTTGGTTCTAAAAATGTGACTAAAGACAATAGGCCCTTTGATATTTCACTTTAAAATTACATTGATACTGGATGGGGAAAGGGAAATTTGGCATCAAAGGGAAATTTGGAAACAAACTAATAAACCAGAATCAGCAGTTAATAACAGAATTTGGTCAGGGTCCTTTAGGAGATAAGCTGTCTGTGAAGTAGGTCAGGACACGACCTATCATGCTGCACGTAGGGCCTGGCCACGATTCCCCTTCCCAAGCATCAACCCTTCCCTTCTGTGCTGTATATTGACACATAATGTTCCCAAGGGTTCTTGGCACATTTGCCTCTTCCTCTGTCCTGTTGCAATTTTCCAAATAATCCTTTTTTAGTTTCTCAATGACTTTGCCTTGATTCATGGAATCATTTGTTGCTATTTTCCATGGTTTACTATTACTTAATAGAGTGCCTAATAAATGTTGATCTCTCAAGGATGACTCGGGTGAAGATTACCAGTGTTCTATTAGGGCATGAGATTCCCCACCTTACATCGTTTCTGTCTCCAACACTTCGTTCCCAAAGGTCAACAGGGCCAGCTGTCTTCTAACAGTAAATCCCACCTGGTTACTGCCCACCAGTAAATTCCTGTTTGGGAGGCATTCTGCCCTGCTGAAACTGGCCTAGTCAACATGTGTATAGGTAATCGGGCGTGGCTAGCTTGTTTGTATTTTCTTGTGAAAATTTCCTCTGAATCTTTATGTCATTTTAATAGTGCTCACTGCCAAGACACTCATCCAGTGGCCGGGACTGTGGCTGTTTATGTGGGGCTGCTATGCTTCAGAAGGCAGTTACTTTATTCATAACACTCATGTCTTCCCACTGAATGCTCATTAGACACCCTTCAAGCAACCAAAAGGGCTTTATATTTTGTGTGACTTTTAAACCACAGATCTCAGTTATCCTTTAACACTTCAAAAGACATGTCTGAAAATGTAAAATGCTAATTTTATTTTTCTGCCTAAAGCCTATCAATTTTCAGGTCTATATACTCTTCCCTGTGGATGAGGGGAAATGAACTCTGCATGTTAACAGGAGTAAAGAAGCCAGATTTTTTTTTAGTTATCATTTTAGAGCTATGATATATAATCACATTTTATATCACTCACTTTTCTATTTTATATAGTCTTCACTGTCTTGATAAAGTTACAAAAAGTACTGTAATAAAATACTAAGCCGCTAAATTAAAAAAACAACAACATTACATTCTACATCAATTTTTGCCTGCTATCATTGTTGAAATTAAACCATCTGGATTTTAAAATAAGGATGTAAACTTACGTTCTAAATTGTGACTAAAGACAATAGGCCCTTTGATATCTCACTTTAAAATTACATTGATATTGGATGGGGAAAGGGAAATTTGGCATCTATAATTTTTATAATTTATAATTTTTGTTTCCCAAACTAACAAACCAGCATCAGCCATTAATAATTATACAATRCTTACCAAGTGTGTGCACATTTAACCTTAACTCTGTGAGGCAGGCTTTACCTTCATTTAACAGAGAAAAACTAAACAAAGAAAGGTTAAGAAACTTGTCAAGTCACATAAGAAATAAGGGTTAAGAAGCTGCGATAGCAAAATAGAGACAGATGAGGTACAAGTACTATTGACAAACGCCTAAGTTGCTGTTTTGAACAAATAAATCCCTATTAAAATGGTGTTCATGTGGTTTAGTTGGAAAAAGCAGACCAATTACCATCTGGCTGAAACCTTTATTATTTCAGAAATAAGCATCCTATATACTTTGAGATGGTTAAAATAGTTATTTCTGGATTACTGTAATAAATATTTCTCAAAAACAGCAATCATCTCAATAATCATACATATTTTTTTCCATTCATTAAAGACTTCCAAAAATAACTCTTGTATCAAAAAAATAATCACAAAAAAGCTAAGTAGTGGTTTATGCAGGACAGAAAGAAAACTGCTAGTGGACACTAACGAAGCACTTTCCCTACTATACGTCTGATTCATGTGTTTCACAAACACTACTTTTGCTTTGCTTGTTAAGTGCTTATTAGTCTCAGAGGGAATGCAAGAAACCATCAGTTTTTTGAGAAAACTGCTTTCATAATCTCTAGTGTAAGCAACAGACTTTTCTGAAAAAGGCTCCTGAGTTTGAAGAGATAAGCAATTATAAACACATCTTTTGTGTACTTAAAAAAAAAAGCATTAAGTTTCATGTTATGAATAAATATTTTATCTTGAAACAAAAGATTCAAAAGTAAAACTCACATAATTCTATCAGGAATTCTCCTTATGATTAACACTCTGGATTGCCCTAACAATGAGAAGCCAATCATTATATCCACAATGTAAAGACAGCAATGAGAAGCAGAGCAGATTTAATCAGCTCTGTTTCACAGACACATGGGAAAATAGCAACTGTTTCAAATACCTAGATGACTCTTACTGGCTTCCCATGATCACACAGCTAAGACATATGAGTATTCAACAAAAGACTGCAGATGACCTTTTACTTCTCTCTGGTCTCTATACCAAAACCCATATTTTCAACATTCTGCATCTCCCCCAAATATACAGGCAAACATGAGTTTGCTAACTTAACCCAATAAACTTAAAAGCTTAAATTCTTATAACACAAACCTTAGATTTCATATTTTGTTATAGTATTTTAAAAATGAAAATTGGAAATGTATGTGCTTATTTGAAAGAGAACTATTGACTTTATTCTCTAGAAGAAAAAGCAAACCTGAAGGATCACATTACTGGAAATTTTAACCATGTTGACAACATATGTTCCTAACTTCTAAACATCACGGAAAGCTGCTTGTACAAACTATGTGACAAATATGTGCTGTTAAACAAGCAAGACATCTGATTCAGTAGCGAAGCCAGAAGCTGTTACTTCACTTCTTTCTGTTGCCTCCAGATGCTAGCATACTTGCAACTCGCATAAATATATTTAGTGTATCCATGTAGATTCCCAACATCCTAGGAAAGAAAATTATGCCCATTATAAATGATGCAATTCTAAAGCTTTTTTAATATGTAAAAGAAAAAGCAATATTCATTATCTGGTTCTAAATACATGAAATAGAAATTTGTTAAAAATATGATGTTTAATTGCCAACTACAGAAGCCCTAAATTAGGAAATACAAGGTTTCCTTGTAATATACCAATCTTTTAAAATATTATAGGCAGTTTTTAAAACCGTTAGTCTATTCTCTGACCATCTGCTAGGAGTACAGCTTACTGCAAAATAGGCTGGGTGACAGACAATGAAATAATCAAGACAAAACCAAAAAACACCTTTATTTTAAAAACTTGCTAGACACAAGTCTAGCATTTTAAAATATAACATATCTACCCTAATCCCCTAAGAAAAATTGCTCCAATCTGTAAGCTTTACAGCAACAATTTTTAAACCATTACATTGTTTTATTTTTAGATACAGAAAAACAAATTACTTTAAGAATGTGACAGACTTTATGAAATTCTAGAAAAATTTTAAAAATAAACTAGTTTGGTAGAATCCAAAGGGGGAAAAAGAGAATATATAACACCAAATGTCAACAAAAGTTCAATATCTTCAAAATATAACCTGTATGCTGAAGAATATCTAATTTTTAGAATGATACTCATCCTTTAAAAATTCCAAGTCGATTATTTTCCAAAAATATGTGATTAATACTTACCTTTTCTTTAGTTCTAAAGTCTGTCAAATATATACTATTCAAAAAACTGACGAAGAGCTCATTGTTGCACCCTAGGCCTAATTAACAAAAATAGGTAAAATACTTTGAATTGGACAAGTATATAGATATTACACTTAGTTGCAAAATGATTAGTTTTTTGGATACACACACAGTTTATTAAGAGACAGGAGATAAAACTGCAACAGAAATAAAATGGTAAAATTTGATAAAGTCATTGATGTTGGCTGAACTGTATTTCGTCAAAAGATATGTTGAAGCCCAATCCTGGTACCTGCGAACATGACCTTTTTTGGAAATATGGTCTTTGAAGATGTAACCAAGATATAAGTTATGATGAGACCATACTGGACTAGGATGGGCCTTTACTCTAAATATGACTGGTTGTCTTTTAAGAAGAGACAATGAGAGACATTTAGGGAGAATGCCAGTCAAGTTCAGTGATTGGAGTGATGTATCTACAAAAGTCAAGAAATGCCAACGGTTGCCAGTGTAACAAAAAGCTAAGAGAGGCATGGAACAGATTCTCCCTCAGAGGCCTCAAAAGGTACCAACCTTAATTTCATACTTCTGGCCTCTGGAACTGTAAGAGAATAAATTTCTGTTGTTTAAGCCATCAGCTTGTGATATTTCATTATGGTACTACTCTAAGAAACTAAAAAAGCCATAAACAAAACAGACAAAAAAAACAAAACAAAACAAAACAAAACAAAACGAAACAAAAAAAAAAAACCATAACAGTAACAATGGTAAAGACTACTTACGAATTGATGGGATCATATTTTTGAAATCCATATGCTGGTATTAGTTCTGCACGCTTGATTACTTTTTGAGTATCATACAGAAGGAACATGCTGAAAAGAACTAATCCACCATACATGGCCACTGAGTACAGAGTGGCACCAGCCACAGTGGTAGGTGGAAGAAACATAGATCCTGAAACCAAAATTTAAAGATAAATTAATTAATTAATTAATAAAATAATAAAAGAAATTAAGATTTGTTAAAAAAGGAATTTCTTATAACTGGACTAATAATTTAATTAATCAAATATCTTTGGTATACTGAACAACTAATAAGACAAGTGAGTATATGTTCTAATGTTACTTATACTTGTTCAAAAATCCATGGCATTCATTCCTCCAATGGGTCTCCTGCCCATATCATARGAAGATTCCTGTATCAGAGCAATTTTCATGTTCTCTAAACCATTTTAGATTTTATCTTATAAAACCAATAAGATTTTTTTTATATCAATGAAACCCAACCAAATTAGCATAAACTTTTAAAACAACTTTTAAAGAATGACTCTTAATTATAATATTTGAGTGTTGCATATTTCAGGACATAAGAACCAAGTACTAAAAATGTTAAAGCATAGCAGCTTACCCAGTGAGGAAACAAAGACGAGACCCAGGCCTACTCCCAGGGGTGCTCCCATGTTCAGAAACTTTTCACTGGGGGCACACATGGCCACAGTGGAGAGGCCTCCCACAATGCCAGCTGTGTACCATGCAGCTCTAATAAGGAGAGGTCCTCCTAATATCGTCAGAGGAGCTACTACTGCACCCATCACACCTGGAGGAAGAGCAAGTTTTTGTTATGTATTTACTAAATAACCACCAAAGAACAAATGCCATATTGAATGTACTATCTTAAAATATTGTGCCTTTATTTTAAGCAATATTATAAAAAGCTTTCCCTTTAGATAATACTACCCTCCAAATTCCACAACCCACACCTGTTTCTATCCAAATTCTATTATTACATTAACATTATTTCCTAGTCAGTGACAACCTATAACAAACATTAACCTAAATTTTGGGTAACTTTATAAAAATTCCAAGTAGCTCACTATTTGGATCTAAACCCACTATCAGTTTTTTACAAAATTATAGATTCAAGAATTAAAGTAAAAAGGCCTAAAACAAAAATGAAAACTAGTGCTGCCAAAAGGGAATACAGTAAAATAAGAGCAAGAGTGTTATGATGGAAAATGGAAAATACAGGAACTTACAGGACAGTGTTGTTATTTGTGTACTAGAGAATGCTATCACAGCTTATAAAAATTATTTTAGGCGTCAGATATTTATAAACATCTTCATAAAAATTATAGTGGAAAGCATTATTAATTTAAAGAACAAAGGTGATGCAAATGTAATTCCTTAACTGAGAAAAAAAAGTCCTGGATAAGGCATTAGTCAAGTGCTGAGTAGAAGTTACCCTTTTGTTAAATGTAGTTTATCTTACATAGAACAGGCAAGTGCTACCTATCTTCATGCTGAATTTTCAAAACTAGCGTGTCTCTTGGGCAAGAGCACCACTTTTAGATCAAGTAATAAGGTATGAATAAATAATAAGGCATACTGTATTTCATGATGATGGCTAATTTAAAAACACCTTTTGTTTTAGGAAAGATAACTGGATAAAATTTTCGACCTGTGACATTTCTCTTAGGATTCCCATCAGTTTTGTAATTGGCAACAAACATTTTAGCAACTTTCTATACCTTCAGTTTTTCCCTTTTTCTAAAAATACCAGACAAAAGGGGATCTCAGAAGATACGTATCAGATTTGAAATCCTCCTGACACTGGATAAGATACACAAAGGTAAATCTATGCACATACTAGACTGCTACAGGGAACGTATTTAATATTGGGGTGGCTTAAAGTCTTAGTATCAGAAACAACCTTTCAAAGCAAAGGTTAAGCAATAATGTAACCAGTAATGACTACAGAAAATTTTGTTTTCTACATATACCATTTCACTAACTTATGTTAGTTGTGCTGACATTTAAAACAATCATTTACAACTGTGAAAAGCCACTTAAAAAGGGCACAGTTTTCAAGGTTGTTCAGTAACAATTTAAAAACAGAACATACCAGAATGTAGCAACCAAGCAAGATGTTTTGGGCCTGGGCTTTGCTCATATGATATGGAGTGTACCAGCATTCCAGCTCCAATCATGGCTGCAAAGGTTGCACCAATTGTCTAAAATACATTGAAGAAAAAACACACAAAGAAACACCAGATCTTTAAATAAAAATAAAGATGTTTATAAATATCTGACACCATAAGTTTCAAATACAATTAGGCACTTCTAATAAACCAGTTTTTATAAAGGATAAATGGCATTCTATATTTTCCCAACACATTAAGGCAATGGTTTATTTCAGTTTTGGTTAAGTTAGGAGAAGTGCCTCCTCCTGCTATATATGAGGTTCTGCAGCTTCAAGTATACAAGTGGAGAATGGACTGGCAGCAACATCTTTTAACAATTAACAAAATCCTTTCAAAAACCACAGAATAATTATTTTTGATTAAAATATATATTCTAATATAACACAAATAGTATGTGAAATATACATGTCTATCTTTATAAATGCATATATTTACCATACAACATACATGTCTGTTTATATACACACACATATATATACATATATATGAATATACACACACACACACACACACACATATATATATATATATCACATTATATCACATTTCCTTGAAATAATTTTTAAAAGAGTCTGAAAAACTGAAGGTGAATGTCATAACATGTGGAAAACAATGAGATATAAGACCCCACATTTCTGTACCTGCAGGTTTGTGGCTGAATTTGTCATCATCCTTTTTCTTTGCCTATCTTAGGTGATTTCCAAGGTTGTAACATTTAAATGTTGTGTTATGATAAGAACATGTGTGATAGGAATAAGAGTGAGTCCATTTTCAAGGAACTTAAGGCAGAGATTGCAAACATGCAGTCTTTGGATAAAATCAGACAGCAGATATGCTGTGTTTGATCAACTATTCCTAAAATCTAAATGTTTTTAGATGCCTATAATCCCATGGGCCATACCAGGCCTCCTTATCTGTATCCTTATCTGTATTGTCTGTCTAACCCAAGGACATCAGAATTTTCAGCCTACAATATAAAGTACAGGTAAGCAGAACAGCTGTTTTTTTCAGAGGACCAAAAAACCCCAATTAATGAAGAAAATTTTCCGATGGAGAGACAATTACCAAAAACTTCACACAGCCTCCATGCATAACATTTTCAGGGTATTTACTAAAATTACATTTATTTTCTTCAGAGGTCCCTCGTGATTCAGTCTCATTTTTTGCCTTTTACCTTTCTACATTCTACATTCCAGGTACACTGACTGGTGTCTAYTGGGCCTACGCACACCTCCTTGCTATAAGGCTGAGTTTCTGAACTTTTCATCTTGAGTTTTTTCTATTAGGCACTTTGACTGCCCTAAAGCAGTGCCAGATGCCTCTCTATTCCAAAGCACTTGGGGCAAACTCACTTTATCTCATCTCCAAAAGGCTACATCTTCATTACTGTAGCACCTGTGTTTGACTTGCCCAACGATTTTACTTAATTATCCTTGAAAGCAGAGTAGAATAATCTTTTGACCAAAGAGGATTGAGGGTACAGCTGCAGCTCAAAACTTCTTTAAGTCTTATTTTAAGGCCTAAAATTTTATGTACATTTAAATATTTTGTGTTTTATTACAAAAGTATTGTTTTAAATTATTCACCTTTGATTCAAACTGACATTGCTGGTGAGAATAACCATGTTCACTGTGCATTCATGAACCTCTAGGCTGAGAGATTCATGATATGCATGATCCTAGACTATGTTAAGTGTCCAAATGGTAATGATACCATAAATAGTTCTCTTCTTAGAAAGTAGAATATAATGGAACTACCACAAATCTGAAAGATGGATTTGGGTTCCTGATGGAGGGAAYTGGTTAAGTACTACATAATCTCTCTCACCTCTTCCCTTAGTTTCATTTACTGTTGTAGTTAAGGTTGTTATCCTATGTTTCAGAGGTTATAAAGGCACAGTTGGTATACCTGTTTCATGTCTCTTCCACATCAATTCTGAACATTCAAATACAAACCATATTTTTGCTTTTTTAGTCTCTTTAACGGCCTTCAATGGCTTAGGTAATCACCTTAGCTTAGAAATCAAACRTACTCTTTCTAACCATGTCTTCTTTACATTCCACACCTTAAACACATGAAACTTTACTCTTACTGGGATTGTAAGCCCCTTTTCAAATTAGATTTTCCTATCTCTTCTTTATTCAAGTTGTTTGGTAAAGCTGAATTACACTTACCTTTTTCTAAAAATCAAATAAATATGTTAACCTTCAATAGCCCTGATGAATTGTCTCTTTCACAGAACTGCTCCAAGAGTCCAAGATAGAAACAGTCCTTCTATTAACTTTTGTGCTTTCTACTTTTTATTACATATCCCATACCATGGAGTCCAGTTCAGCTTATACTAAATAGTGTGAAGAGGCCCCCATCTGAAATCTTATTCTGGTGTGTATAAAAATCCAAGCATTCAAGAAATATTCAATGAACATAAAATCTTACATAAGGCCAAGAAGCTTAGGAATAACAGTGGCAGCACTATCCTACTCTTAATAGCACAGAATGCTTTATACTCAACAAAGAATAGCAGCTAAGAATGTACTTCCTTATTAATCTCAGCTGTACTAAAAAGTCATATAATCATCTGAACTACAACTTTCCTAAAACTGTATACTTCCATTTACTACCCCAGTATAATTCATCTAATCTTTTGATCTTTACACTTTCAAGAAAAATAAAAGCTGACTTACCACCCAAGAGCCTCTCATCATGAAGTTCATAAGAGCAGGTGTTCTAGACACTGCCAAGGCAGACAAAGTAGTTAAACCAATACTTCCTGCTAAGTACATATAGGTAGAATGAATTCTATCCTTCACATACTGAGGCCAAATTCTGTAAGAAACATGACATGGTTAGTTAGGGATATGAATTCTGGTTGAATCATTCACTGGCTCAGTGACATTAGGATAAATCACTTTAATATTCTCAATTGTATTCACTTCATTTATCATGGAAATTATGTATAACTTGAAGTTACTATAAAGATTAAATAATATAAAACAAACTYTTGGCACACCTAAAAAGCAACATATTTTCTCTTTGCTTAAACATGTATAGCCTTGGTAAAAGATGTTTACTTGGATTTGAATACATATAGGCCAAAAAAGCAAAAAGTGATTCTATTTTTATTCATGTATATACATAGATGAAGACTGGATACAAAACATTCCACTAGTGACTAAAGGTTAAAGATTAAAGAATGAGAACTGGAATCTTTATGGAAGGTTTCTGGGATCATCTGGGAACAAATTTACTCACACAGCCTTTTCAATAGCTCCAATCTCACTAGACATTCCCAAGCCATAGTAGCACAATGCTCCAAGACCAACAGCAGCTCCTCCAGCAACAAACCACCTTCCCATCTGATCAACTGCAGAACACAGGAGAAAATATAAGTTAATACTGTCATGTCTCAACTACACTAAAGTGCTGGAGGTAAAGCCTTCTTGACATTTATTAGGGGGGCATCAATGATATACTGTATTTCTTCATAATAGCTAGAATTATCTTGTGTGGACCTTTAGAAATGTTCTCAAGGTCAGGAGACCATACTGAAGAACACCCTGAAACAAAGGTGTAATAATCACTAAAAAAAAAAAAAGGGTGGGGGGAGGACGAGCTAGGTGCTATAGCTCACATCTGCAATCCTAGCTACTTGGGAGGTTGAGGCAGGAGAACTTGAAATTTGAGACCAACATATTTAGAAATGGGAAAAAGCTTTTTCCTATTTAGAAATGGGAGGGGGCAGATTTTATGAGCCTTCAACCTCATTCCAACAGTATTTTGGTGGGGTCTGCCAGTATGTTTRCAGCTGTGGAGATGACTCTGTGAAACACTTTATTAAAAGGAGTTGGGGGGGGGTATGTTCTCGTGGAATTTTTAGACAGTAAAAGATAAAATATTTATAAATAATCATCTATACTGTGTCCTAAAGTAGTATTAGCAAAGATAAAGCTTACATGGCATCTAGAAAGAGAACCAAAGAAGAAAAAAAAAAAAAGTAATCAGTGTTTATGCAGTACAGTCAAGGGAGAGGATGCTCTTGTTAAGAGTACCAACAATTAACTTGTCAACTCTATCTCAATGGACAAAGATGCTCATAAAGAGTATCATTCCCTTCAATTTAAATTTGTTTACTAAGAACGTTACTATGCTGTTGCTATAGAATTATTTTTTGTTCTCTAGGATCAACCTAGTAATTGACTAGGGCTTTTTTCCATTATAATACACTGCCGTTTTATAAGACTATTTAGCACTGGGAAGATTAACAATCTAGTTATGGAATTAGCAAAGCTGAAATCCAAACTGTGAACTGAAGTGACTTTATTTAAGGTAATGCATTTCTGAAAGGTCCCAAATGGGCAGTTTGAGGTCCCTTCTTAGAGAGCTAGGCTTTTCCGAATATGTATGTTTTGGTGCCATATTCTTAACATTATATGCTCAAATGAAGATTCTATATAATACTAAATGAACTTCCTTAACAGACTATACCTTTAAAATTATGGCATATTAATAATCTTTTATATTTCTTCCTTAAAAAAAAAAGGTAGAAGTAAAATTTTTACTGGAAGAAATACATGAAACCTGGAACCACTGAATCCAATGCAAAGTACTAATGTGTTTTGGATCATCAGATTCTTGACAGAAATATGACCTTTCTTTCAGAAAATGCACATATATACAGGTTTGTAGATATTTTTAGGAAGTTATTCGTGGACTTCTTAAAACATCATATACTTCAGGTTAAAAACTACCACCTACTTTTAAATATTTTTTCCGCTGATGGTTCCATTGCAGCGTCTTTGAGTTCTTGGCCAGTTTTCCCACGGCGGATCCCAGTTCTTGTCCTGGTGGCATACTCCTGATATATATATATATACAAAGATATATTATCTATACCCAAACAGTATGTTTAATAATAAAATAGAGGCTCTCTTTACACTAGAAAACTCTATAGTTAAAAGAAATTTGATACTCTCTATAATGTAATGTCAATAATATTCAACCAAATTAAATATGGAGCAAACTGTGCTTCCTCTTCATGGCGATTCACTAATTTATTATACACTTCTTGGTTTGAGTTTCAGAATTATTTCCTTTCATAAATTACATATTTTATTTATATACCTAGAATTATTATAAATCTCAAGATGAGAATTTAGTACTATTTTAAAAAATACAAATAAATCATTAGCTATATTCTGTTATGTGAAAAATTGGTTCAAGGAAAAAAAAGTCTTTCTCCTGAATATGAAGTCAAGGGAAGCTATGACTACTGCTTCTGTTTTGGCTTTTTTGCAATGCTGGAACAGTTACTCCAAGATGGAAAAACTGACTTTYTAGCTACTGTGTATTCTCCTTAATTATCTCACAGTTCAAAACTTACATTCCTACTCACTTGATTACTAGGGGAGAACTCTGTTGTAAAAGAAAATGGGCTTCTCTCTAACCTGATAGATTTCATCAGTCTCTGAATAAGAGCTAAAATAGTATCTTTACTAACTTATTAATAAGACATTGGCTCACTGGAGGGCAGAGACTGTAGCTCAGTGGCAGAGAGCTTGCCTAGCATGTGTGAGGCCCTGTGTTCGMTCCTTAGCACCACATAAAAATAAACAAACAAAAGCATTCTGCCCATCTACAATTACAAAAAATAAAAAAAAAAATAACATTGGCTCACTGAAAATATGAAAATATCTCCGGGTTCTTAAGCATTTGGTTACAGGCACCACTCAAAATTTCCTTGTTGCACCCACCATGTAACTAYTGATCCCTTACTATTTACTCTCAATTTTCTGAGTGAGAAACCCCAAGAGATGTAAATCAAAGAAAAGCTATAGGAGCCCTTTTTCATACATAATAAAAAAGAACCAGGATGAAAGAAAATTGATGGGGAAAACCATCTAATTAGAGACATTACTGTTTTTTTTATTCGCTTTTGTTTGGTAATAGGGAATGAACCCAAGGGCACTCTGTTACTGAATTACATCCTCAGTCCTTTTTTTTTTTTTTGCCATGTAGAAATTAAAACCAGGGCCTTGTGCATATCAGGCAAGCACTCTACCACTGAGCTACACGACCCCRCCCCATCCCTCATCCTTTTTCACTTTGAAACAGGGCCTTGCCAAGTTGCTAGGCCGGCCTCAAACTTATGATCCTCCAACCACAGCCTCTCCAGTTGCTGGAATTACAGGAGTGCACCACCTGCTGGCTATTACTATTCATTTTTTTTAGTAAATCGTTACTTGTAAATAATTAAAAGCAGCAAAAAATCTCCCCAAACAAACCAACCCAAACCAATCTCAGGACATCAAGAGAAGCCAAACACTAAAAAGACAGAAAAAGACAATAGGAAAACATTCAAATTATCCTTACCCTGCTGGGTGTTAAAAGCCATTGATTCTTAGTGATGGAATTCTTCACAACAGGGGAGGCCTTGGTGAAAGCTGGATGGAAAACCCTGGAAGGTAGTGTCCGGAGACACACAAACCTTGCAGCCAGCATGGTGACACACCAGGTTTACCAAGCAGATCTAACCGCTAGTTATAAAGACAGACAAACAAAAAACAGAAAACCCCAAACAAAATCCATTAATTAAGGGAAGGACATGGAAGAGAAAGAGGATAGAAGGAATAACTTATCTTTTAGTAGGGCAAAAAAATATGGAATAAAGCAACTTCTCTAATTTTCAATGAGGAGGCCTCTGCCTGCCTCTTCTAATTTAAGAAATCTATCCCATAGAACCCAGTTTGGGATGGACCACTAAATTAGATTTTAATTCCAATTTGACCAATAATAGGATGTATGACTCTGAGAAGTTATTTGTAAGTCAAAATGGATGTTACTGTTTTTAACATGATTAAAGTCTGTGATAACTTTTAAAATATGTAATTTTGACTTTATTACTTATGCCTTTCTACAACTACAATAAGGGCAATTAATCTTTAAAAGCAAACTCAGTTACTCAGGTTTTCCTCATGCTACAATGGTGATTTCAAAGAAAAGTATGCTAAAATTTTGATTCTCTTAGCTCTGAGGGAGATTACACCAGAAAAGTGTTCAATAAGAAATCAGGTAAATGTCTTTCTGCAATGCTAAGATGATTATGACAGACAGGTAAGAATGCAACGAGAAGTGTAAGCCAACTTGGGCTACTAGCCCATTTTTGCCAATCATCTGTAGTGAATCTGAGGCAAGTGACCATCCTTCTGTGTCTCATTTTCTTCATCTTCAACGTAAGAAAACGTGACCAAAACAGTGTTCAGACCACATACCTGATCCTGGGACTACACGCTTTGAAACTGTCAAGATGCATCTTAAAATGTAGACTCCTGGGTCCTACATTGCTTCTAGAGGGTCTACTTCTAGAAATGAACTAGTAATATGATTTAACTAGCCCCCGCCCCCCAAAGGTAAAAACAGATGAATGTCTCCATCACTGCCACTGGACCTATGAATGGTGTACAACACTGGACATCTGTCCTTTGGGAAAATACCAAGACCTTCTGGTACTTGCATGCCATTACATCATCTCAACCCTTATCTTCCCCAGCCCACTGACTGGGGCAGGATGGCTTCGGTGTCCTGTAACAACCCAGAGTGGGAATCCCGCTTCTAYCACAAGTTAAAAGTGACCTTGAACAGGTATTAGGCCTCTTAAATACCTTAGCTAATTTTGTATAAACCACCACCGCCCCTTACATAAGGCACGAGCTCCGGCGCCCGGTCTAACCCGACGGAAAGCCTTCGACCTTCCAAAGTGAGCGCACACTCTACGACACCCCGCCCCCGTGTAGGTCGCTCCGTTATCTGCCAAGGCCGCGGCAGTGAGGCTCGGAGGCTGGATGACTCAGCACCTGGTTGCCAAGCGGCAGCAACCAGCAAGAGAGGCTTTTGTCCGCTGGTCGGGGACCCCAAGGCTGCCGCTCATTCATGGGGGTCACCCACAGGACGGCGACTGTGACCCGCAGCCTAGCTGTGACAGCCAAWGGAGCCGCCGCCTCCAGCCCGCACCCCCCCCCCCCAGTACTGCCAAGACGCCCCATAAAGCGGGCTTTACAGAGTGCTGAGAGGGTCTCAAGTCGGTTCGAAGGAGAAGTACCTCAGTTCCCGGTGACCTCCTCCACGCAGTTCCCCTTCCGGGCCTGCGAAACGTGCACACCCCACCTCCTCGCCTTCCACCCGCTCCCTACTGCCTGTGCGCGCGCAGTCTCCGAGGCTCACTGAGTGACGCCACATCCGGAGAAGATGTAAATAGTACAAACAACCAATCATGAGAAAGCCTACGAAGGAAGGGTGGGCATAGTCGGGAGCCGGGGTTCCGGTTGGGGGGGCGGGACCAGTGGAGGATTGTGGTTGGAAACGTCACAGTCAGCGTCCATTTTGGGTGCGGGCTGGGAAGCCTTCTCGGCCATATTTGCTCTTGGTAGTGGTGCTCTCTATTTTGTTCCAACCTTTATCCTCGTAGCTGATACAAATATTTAAAAAACCGAGTGTAATGTTACAGTCGAAAATGATTCATTCACTCTGTTCTATCCTAATGCCGCCTCTTGTGCTTTTATTGTGAGAGAAGTAATCATGCCAAATGTGGTAATTTCTGACAGGAGCCAAACTATTTCTTGGGTCTGACGTAAAGAGTTAAGATTGTTGAGTCTCGAAGTTTTTTGTCTTGGTTTAAATTGCCTTGAGACAGCACTTAAAAGTTTCAGTCTGTACCTGTGTAATAGGGCATATACAAGTGACTGTTCCTCCTTCCAGGGTTTTTCCGATGACTATTAAGATGCTTTCATTGAGAGTAATTCATTATGTAAAAGCCATTTCTGGTTTCTAGGGGAAGTCCCCCTTCCTTTTTATTATTACTTTCTCTCTCTTAACCTTAAATAAGTATTTACTGGAAGCTTGCTTTGAACCAGGCTCTGGGCTATAGATGTGTACAACTGATTAAAATGCATTGGGTACCCCTGTTTGGTGAAACAAAGCCTTTGCCTTTAAGGCATTCAGTTTCTGGTGAAGACAAAATAGGCAAATACAACACTTTAAGCTGGTGATAAGTACTGTGAAGAAAAGGCAGGGTAAAGCACTAGAGGGGTGATACTATTGATAAGGTCATTAACAACAAGAAATTTTATTACCTACTAAGCAATTGCTAATTGTGATTTATGATCATCTCCTAACCCTGTATTACTGACAAACATAAAGTTTTGCTTTTTTTTTTTTTTTGAATGTGGCTAATAAAACAATTACACAATAACAGAGTTCTTATCTGTTACTGGAAAATGGCAGGCAAACACTAAAGAAATCTGTCACTGAAGGTACTGAACAGATCCAGCATGAGCAATTTAATCTTACTTTAGATCTTAACTGGATTTGATTAGTTAGCAACTAGGATCTCTGTTTAGCTCCTTTAGTGATATTCGTTTCCTAGAGCTTCTGTTATCAGCAAAAAGGAGGAATTTACAACACAATGTCTGAATAAACAGAATCTTGAAGTCTATGACTCAGGATTCCTTCAAAATTGCTATTCTCTTTGTAAGGGAAGAAAAATTTCTGATTTCCTATTTTCCTTTTTAAAGTATGTGGCTGTTACCACTGGCATGAAATATTTTGAAGTAGGGATAGAAGCTGGTCCCATTATTGGGAAGATAGCTCAGTGGCACTGTGTGTGGGGAGAGGTTCCTTTGACTCCCGGATTTGGTATTGTAATCATTCCAGCAAAAGGTGATGAAGTCTGGAAATAARACAATAGAGGGACAGAGGGAAGGCTTATGACAGAGATAATGTTGCTGAGGTGAAATTTACAGGATTTTAATGACTGATAGAATATAGTTGATAAGAGTGAGGGAGGTACCCTTGGTAATTTCTCTTTTCTGAATTGAGTGAAATTGGGCAGATAATTACACCATTAATTTGGAGAAAGGATAGAGGAGATAGAGATGTGGGGGATGTAGATAAGTAAAACCTGTAGGTAGTGTTAAATTGTAAATCCACAGCCTCTAAGGTCTAGAATATAGGAGAGATAAAAAGGCTCAAATCCTGAATTCTAGTGTTGAATATCACATCATAACTTTTTTTTTTTATAGACTGTTGTTTCCTTATTCTTTACCTGCTGATTACATGGGAAGTGCTGACTTATAGTGGAGAAAATTCAGAAACAAGAACAAAAGGGAATATATTTATTTTTAGTTGAAATAAATACTTTCCCTCTGCCCCACTAGACTTTTCCATCAGGAGCTGTGCTGTGAGTATGAGAGAGGTAAAAAGAGAGTTTTCAAGGGATTTAAACTTTATYCTCTCCAGAAGGTCTCCCAACAAAGGGAAGGTGTTACTTCTGGAAAGGTTGGGAACATCCGTTTCTGAATGTGGAGACCAACAAACACCCACTTTTCATGTATCTGCTGAGTGGTCAAAAACATAGCAGGTGGTATTGTGGTTTGTATCTTGAATGTCTTCCAAAGGCCCATGTATTGAAATCTTGTACCCTGGAACAAGGGAGGTGGTAGAACCTTTAAGAAGTGGGTAGTCTTTAGGTCATTAAGGGTGTGCCCTGAAGAGGATTGTGATATGCTGGTCCTYTTTCTCTTTCTTTTTTATTTATTTATTTTAATGCTAGCCATGAAATGAGCCAGTACCATGCTGGCACCATGATGTGCTTTCTCAGGCCCAGAGCAACAGGACTGACCAATCATGGACTGATATCCCTTAAATCCTGAGGTAAAATAAACCTTTTCTCTTTGTAAATTGATTATCTCAGATATTTGTTAYAGTGGTGGAAAACTGACTAACACAGGTGAGAGGTGGGTCAAGATCTCCCCTTACTGTTTCCCCTTGGATTTGAGATTTGCTTCTAGACTATAACCGTGAACTTGTATCTGCTTGTTTTCACCCTTTAGGATGCTGACACTAGAATTATGCATGGTTGAAATGCCCAGATGAGCATAATAGATCATTAGTGTGCTACAGGACAGAGCCAGCATCTGACTGGTTGGGTGAGAAACCAAACTGCCAAACTCAGAGTTTAATCATTCCAGCCACAGAAGGAAAATGAAGCCACTGTTGAGAAGGGGAYTGCTTTCTTTGGATCATGCCCAAAGCATCACCTTGCATATGGGTGTCCTGACTGAGGGTAGAGTGGAGGCACAGAGAACAGGTCACACATTTTCCATTGAATATAAAAATCCCTCCCTCGCATTGAACATAAATCTCAAACATGACTAAWGATAATAAATTCTGAATCTGACTGACAGATTATCAGATTAGCCCAAGTTTATCAGAATGGAAAATATAGTGCTGTCCTCCTTAAATTGACTAGTCCCTTAAGAAGCAACATTGAGTCACTTAAGGAAAAATGAAGTTCATTTTTATATTCATCCAATTGGCAGTTTTTCAGTTTTTTAGCTAAGGGATTAGACTAAATGAATCTTCATATCCTGCCCTGCTCAGTGCTGCTTTGAAGATAGCATGATTTTTCAGTAAAAATATCCTTCAAGAATTCAGGATAAATAAAATCATTTTMAGGTAAATGAATTGTAAGAGAATCTGTTGCCACACGTATGTTCTAAGAGACATGCTAAAGAAATATCTTCAGGGTAAAGGGAAATGATATCAGAGAGAAACTTGGAACTTCAGAAATAAAGAACAACAGACATGGAAAATAACTGAGTAGATATAATAGACTACTTTCTCTTCTTAAAGTCTTTAAAATATATGAGTGTCAAAAGCAAAACTTGTAACACAATAATATGGGATTTTCAATGTATGTAGTTGTAATAATTATGATAGCCTGAACATAAAGAAAATGAAGGGGACCATGAAACCTATTTGGTGGCCAGGCATCTCAGTTTTTTTTAAGTGATAAAATATTAACTCCAAATAGATTATAAAAGTCATTATAATAATCCCTGAAGGAACCACACCACCACCACCAAAATATACAAGGAGCTAAAAAGTAAAAAAATAAATTAAAATAGGATACTATAATATTGTCAGACATTCTAAAGGAAGGCACAGAAAGGGTGAACAGAGAAAACAAATAACAAAATGATAGACCTAAATCCGATAGGTCAATAATCACAATAATTGTAAGTGGTCTAGATATAATAATTAAGGAAAGAGGTTTTCAGATTGAMTTGAAATAGAAGACACAACGGTATGCCATTATGTGAAATCCACTCAATGTATTGTAGTGTATATAAACATTATATGAAAGAAAAGATCAAGAAACACTAATCAAAGAAAGATAAGTTAATTATATTAACTTTAGACAAAGTAGACTTTAGAACAAGAAAGATTACTAGGGATTAAAGGGATATTACATGAGGACAAAAGGTGAAATTCATCAAAAAGACAAAATGACTCTAGATGTATTGGACCTTATTACAAAACTGAGGGTCAAATAATGAAGCAGAAACATAGAAGAGAAAGGTGAAATAGGCAAATCCACAATACACATGGAAACATCAACTCTTTCCTCTCAGTAAACAATAGAACAAATGGAAAATCTGAGAAGACATCAGAGACATGCAACCACTAAAACCAATTTGGTTTAACTGGTATTTATAGAWCGTCCACCTGAGAATAGAAGCATACATATTATTCTCAAGTGTACATGGAATATTCATAGCAATAGGCCATAGGCTGAGCCATAAAACAAACCTTAACAGATTTTAATGAGTTAAAAATCATACAAAGGGCATTTTGTGACCTAATTGCCGGGTTTTTGTGTGACTAAAAGGCTCAGGGGTCACTCCAGTTAATTTGGGCTAATTGGCTGCGCAAAATAACCACACAAGAGACACAAATACCTTTTTCTTTGGGGTCGCTGTGACAGCTCCTCTGACCTTAAGGGTCTGCAGAGAGTGAGAGCATGTGCTGGACCCCTTTTATTGAGGAGAAGCTATTCAAATGAGGCAAGGGGTCAGGTTTCAGGGGGCTGAGTCTATCTTCATGATGTCCACTGTCAGCAGGTTTACTGACATCTGGGTAGGCCACACCCAAAGGGCACAGTAAGAGAAGGGGACACACACAAGTCACTTCCATGGAAGATTCTATCCTAAACAGGGCAAGGGGTTATATTACAAGGGAACAGGTGAGCATAGCTCTACCCATGGGGCTGTAGCAAGACACACCCATGCATGAGACAACAACCCTCGAACCCAAGGAGGGTGGGGAAAGCTCTGCCACATTTCTGTGATTGAGCGCCTCAGCACCCAGCCGGGGAG